TTTGCATTTGGCCTTTTCTTGCCACTACATCCTGGGATTTGGATGCCAGTCGAAGATACAGATCAACTTATCAAGAAACCATACAGAAACGTTGCTCCTATCATGGAATAACTGTCAAATTTGTCGGCAAGTACAAGCAACGCGTAATAGTTTTAACTACAAATTCCAGTGACATTAGACTATCAATAAAATCTGTAAATTAACAAACAAATAAACAACGATTTTTTAACAAAGCAGAAGCATGATATTGCTTGATTAACCAAATGTAAATTTGATTTTTTTTTGTAAATAAAGATGAAAATGATTTCTTAAGGTTCAAGCTTTTATAATGTTGTCTTCTTATTCACCCTATTTCATGATGTATTCCATGAACAAAAGTTTCAGTAGTACTGACAAAAATCAACTTAACATTTATGTTTTAGTTGCTAAAATTCCAAGAAATTAACCATATAGTATAGATCCTAATACTAATAGCAATAATAGTTTTTGGAATATCATGAAATAGTAAGTTCTTATTTCCAAGAAATTCAAGCTTTCACAAATAAATGTATGTCGTTGAGGATGAATTGGGTTAGCAAGAGTATAGATGTAGTTGAAGATGTGAAGTTAATGTGTGTAGACTACGACAAAAGTCACATTTACACCAATATCTTCTTCTTGTTATCAATTATATCCTTTTATTTTTCACGGCATAACTGTGAGCTAATGCCCATTCAGAAAAAAAAGGCGGGTGGGTTTTTTTTAAATAACTTTGCATCACAACCACCTATCGAGTTCGGATTTGCGTCGTTTGAAAGAGGCTTACCTAGCACATCGATCCATATAAAGTTGTTGAGGTTCATTTTGATGAATAAGTAATGATCTATGGTCATCTTGAAAGTGTAGACTATTGTGTTATGAAGATAGAATGAATTTTAAGTTTTGAAAAGTGGACTAGAATCAACAGCTGAGAGCCTACAAATCTACGAAAGGCCGAAGTTTTTATCTCAATTCTTTCAAAAGTTATGAACCAAATATTGATGGTATTTGATCGAATTTTTATCGATTTTACTTTGCACATAACATTGTTCAAATTATCATTATTGATGTTTTTGATCATGGTGGATCGATTGGCAATGCTTATTTCCCTGTAGAACAAGTCTTTTTCTATCAAAATATACCTACTAGTGATTGTACGATATTGTTTTCATATTTTATTAAGTTGTCAACTTGGAATATGTATATCATATTTCACAAATACTTCTGCGACTACCAGTAACATGTCTAGGACCATATTTATATACAGAAATATGAAAAGAAAAAGAGCAGCGACTCATATTATCAATCAATCATTTATTCTGTCGCCAAATCGACTTCTTCCTCTTCGTCCACAAACTGTTCTTCGATTTCTTCTGTGAATCGATCAGACTTCTTTAAGATGTCTTCGATCTTGCATGTTTGATCGATATATCTCATAGCGGTTTCTCTATTCAAGGACATCATCCATTGGTAGGCCAAGGGTTGAACGTCACTGAGGCTAAAGTTAACATTCTTGTCACGTACATAATTTTTTTAAGCCAGCCCATCGTAAATCAATCGGATTGAGCATGCAATGCTTCACTGGCAAACTATAAAAATATGTATAATAGAGAAAAAATGATTTGAAAGAGTAATAACTAACCGTAAAATATCGACATTGTATTTTTTGGCTGCATCATCAATCACGTAATGCTTTGGTGGTAGATTATCGAAAGCGAGCTCGAGTAACTCGGCTTTGGTGGCTTTCTCGGGGGCTGTAATATCGTGATTTATCAACCACTGAACGATGAGTTCTTTCCGCCATGCTCTCTTGGGAGGAATAGTGTCTTCAGTAAGTTGATTGTGCCAAGTTGCTTTATCGATAATCAAGACAGCCTTGACATGCTTGCCTACGTATATCAACAATGAAAGTTATGGTAAAAGGTTAAAAATCATATTGCCGCGCTCCTCTCTTAAAAGAGACACTGTTCGATCAATCCAGGTCAGAAACTGTCTCGAGTCCATATTATGATTTTCATCATATTCGAACATGTAGATTGTTTCCTTGTGAAAACTCGATTCGTTCAAAAGTGCAGCGATCGCTAGTCTTTTACCTGTAACAATAAGCATTAGTCAACTGGACTATAAAAGAGATTATCATTATCTTTGCCCTGATTACGTCGCAGCCGACCAATACCTGTTGTTTCATCGGTCCAAACAAAACGTCTTTCTTCATTTTTCTTACACCATGTCTGATCATGCCAAAAAATCTGAGAACCATAGCCTTCAGTTCATCGATGGCAGCAAAGTAACGTGCACGCGCAGCCATGAATCCGGGAGTATCGAGTGGGACGACAACTTTCGATGGTCGTTTGTATTCAAATCCGAGTTTTTTCATCCACTGCCATAGCAATGTCCTCGACTGGATTGGAAAATTAGCATCCTCAGTCAGAATTCGAATAAGAATCTTACCGATGGTAGGATAGATTCATCCAGCCAAAAGACAAGGAACATGAAATCTAAACAAATCGTTCATATTGATGTTATTCTTCGGACCAACCGACGTCACGGAATATGCCCTTGTTGTTGCTCAGACAAAACGATCGATGAACAGCCAAAATTTGATAGCTTTCGTGCTGGATTAGGGACGGAAAAACTGGTTGTCTTGCTATCAGTGCTGGTGGTGGATGAGAATGACGACGACAATGATCTTGATCGTAGATTTCCAAGTCGACGAATCACCTGAAGTTTTTGATTCTCCACCTGCTATTACTCCTCATCCATTTTTCTCTTCTGTGCCATCATCTCATGTTCAATCTCTCTCATCTCACTTTTCAATCTCTCGACAGGCCTCATCGATATATTCAACATGGATCAGAGTCGTTCATTTACATCAAAGAGTGGAATTATTGGTCCAAGCTTCTCTTTTTTCGACAAAGTTGATAACATTGAAAAATATCTCCTTCATTTCATAAGAAAACTCATGGCCTGGAGGCATTTTTATAGTAGACGTCGTCAGTAGACTTATTATTAACTGTTGGAATTGTGTTGTAAGTACAACCAATAGAAAAAATACCTAAATCAGAACGCAAAAATTTTATTCAATCTACGCATAATCATCTATGTGTCGCTTGCACTCATAAATATCCTTTAAGATCATGACATACGTATATCCGAGTTGATAACAAAATCACATGTGAAAACAATATCGTACAATCACTAGTAGGTATATTTTGATAGAAAAAGACTTGTTCTACAGGGAAATAAGCATTGCCAATCGATCCGCCATGATCAAACACATCAATAATGATAATTTGAACAATGTTATGTGCAAGGTAAAATCGATAAAAATTCGATCAAATACCATCAATATTTGGTTCATAACTTTTGAAAGAATTGAGATAAAAACTTCGGCCTTTCGTAGATTTGTAGGCTCTCAGCTGTTGATTCTAGTCCACTTTTCAAAACTTAAAATTCATTCTATCTTCATAGCACAACAGCCTACACTTTCAAGATGACCATAGATCATTACTTATTCATCAAAATGAACCTCAACAATTTTATATAAATCGATGTGCTTGGTAAGCCTCTTTCAAACGACGCAAATCCGAACTCGATAGGTAGTTGTGGTGCGAAGTTATTAAAAAAAAATACTCACCCGCCTTTTTTTTCTGAATGGGCATTAGTTAATGTTTTATTTAACATATATTTTATCATCGAAAGAGAAATGAAAACAATTACTTTTTAGCTCTAGTCATCTATCCTAATATTTAATTTATTCAATGAAGCATATACGATTCGTTTGTGATGCCCCGAAGCAGTCAGCATTGAGAGCGTGTCGCAATTTTTCGCAAAGGGAGAATATCTTTCTTCGAACAGAATTCAAAAAGAGAATTTCCTCTCTTCTGGAAAAAAGATTTCCCACGATTAAGGAGAGGGTAACACTTCCTCTTCCCGATTGGGCCACCACTAAAAATAGTTATTAGTCATAAGATGACTGAGGAGATCCCACCCAATCTAAGTGCAAACATATACACTTCATCTCTATTTACTTTTCATAATAAAATGAGTTTCTCACCATGAACCAGAGCGAAATAAGAAGTTACTCTCCTTCGAAAGAATGTGTAAAAATGAATTGTAGCTAAACGTCATCGACATTTTATGTGCACTGCTATAGCAATACTTTTTAGTTTATGTCGATCATTTATTATATTATGATGTACACAAATTTGAATTTCCTAGAAATAAGAAATTACGATGACCTCAAACGAGAATAATGGAAACATTCATAACGAATCTCTTTGCATTTTTGTTAACCGTATGATCATTATTTGCTTATTAGATTTCATCCTATAGAAAACGACAACTAACGACAAAGATATTATTGGAGCTCTATTATGTCAGCATTATACCTAATCGTTTTCATTTTGAAAAGAAAAATAAACTTAATTTATTATATAATTATTTTTAAAAGATTTCGATCATTAAATTTTCTATAATATGAAATTGATTAGGTTTTCCAGAAAAATAGATGACGCTAGTTTTATTTTATCTTCTAATATATTTGATATATTGTTAATGCAAAACAGTTTCACCTTTTGTTTTTTAGAATGTCGAATGTTTATTTAGATTTATAAATGCAATTTTTTTAACCTGTGATATAATTCTGTTTCCATGTTAATTATAATAAAGTTTTTGTTCCATATTATATGTTCAATTGGTCGAGGTTTTCGTAAAATATTTCAATTTATTGTTGGAAGACGTCATGAAGAACTTGGAACATCTTTATCTAAAACTGAACCAGTAACACTCGAACATATTCGTATTATTGGTGAAATGGAAAATGATTCAAATCGTCCATATCAATCATTTACTTCAGTTCCAAAAGTAAATAATCTAATATTTTTATTCAATTGTTTATTTATTTGTTTATTTACATTTTTGATTAGATACCACAAGCAGAATGGAATTCTTGGGGTGTTGGAGATATATTTCGACAAAAACAACATTTAAATAATTCACCAACAGCTGATAAAAATGATGAACGAATCGATTATTTTAGTGATATTGCTGCAACAGTTAAAAAAACACCTAAAGTAATAACACATTCAAAAAAAATCATTCTAAACTTTGTAGATAACTTTTGACAATTACTATTTAGATTGTATTAAAAAAGCGTGTCAATGATAATGATAATCAATTAAATCTAGGTGATCAACGTCATAATCGATTACAAATGACAAATGATGAATTAGTTAATTTTGTAAGTTAAATAAATTTCAATTCATATGATTGTATGAATAGTCTTTTTTGAAAAGCAACCTGATCTCAATGAATGGCAAGAAGGTGACGTGAATTCATCGGCTACAAGTTATAGTACTTGGAATGATAATGATGATTTTAATGAACTTTCCCAAGAAGCGAATGAAGCTATGCGAGGTACGAACAAAAAAAAATACAATATTTTAAATGAAATTTGATATTCACTTATTGATTTAATATATAGAAACTCGTCGTATTGAACGTGAAAGAAAATTACGTGAACATCAACAGCGTAAACTCGAAAAAGAAGCATCAAGAACAACAACACATAAACGTGACAGTTTATCATAATTCTCTTTTGTTTTTATTGATTATATTTACTATTCTATGTTTATTGTTAAATATAAGAATCTCGTAAACCAAATATTGATCTTCTATGGAGATTAAACTAGAATAGAAATAAACTTTTTAAAATTCATATATGATGATACGTATGTGTTCATATGTTCTACTATTTACTGTTTATCTTTCTCTTGAACTATGAATTTAATTATTCCATGGATTTATCTCTATTCAGTAGCTCCTAACGTGTCAGCATGTGTGTGTACAATAGTATTCGATAGAATAATAAAGAGCTCATAGTTGAGTTTGTTCGGCAATCGCTATGAAAGCAACCACCAACAGCGGTTTCATGCTCTTTTCTTGTTCTATGCTCATGCGATGTAATGTGAAGGCGTCGTGTTCAAGTAGCTCTTTATGAGAATCGTCTGTCTATTATTGCGGAGCCTAGCACATTACTTGATACTCACAGTACTAACCAATAAATCGATAGAACACAAGAATATTTTGATTGCTTCGCTAGAAAAGAAAGACAGATTACGTTCCGTTGTTTCTCTCTTTTTTCTTTCTCTCTATCTTTCTATATTTCATTTCTTTTTTCCTTGAGAGATAAAACAACACGCACGTTTTTTTATATGAAATCACCATCTTGTATTAGACATATATAATAAAATCTTATTTACTGGCACATGTATTACATCTTATGTGTATATATACATACATAACATTAAATTCTACAAAACATCTAGACAAGGTTTTTTTATGGTTTGACAGATAGACAAATAAAGATAATCTTTAGCTACGAGCAAATCATTTTTATCTAGTAGAACAGCGCTGCTGCTCATTGAGTAAGTACATCTTAATCGAAATGCTTGAATAAAAACTAGGCAATTCTTTCTGCGTACTCAATCAAAATCGTTTGCATAATCTAAAAAAAAACTAGAGTGAGGCAACAAGAAGAATAATTATCATTTCATAGAAGTATACCGCTATTAGAAATGGTAAAGAGAAAATTTGTTGCTGTTATTGTTAGCGGAACAAAAATGTTTGATAAAAGTAATAATGTATGTGTATGTGTTCGATCAAATCAAGCATTAATTCTATGTAGACGCTTGATAAAAAAAAAATGATAGTAACAATTTTGAAGTGTTTTAGTTTTTAAAGTATTAAATAAACCAATTTATATCTCGTTTCCGTTTTTCTCTATTTTATTGGCTCACCACGGATTTTAGCTTGGTGAATAATTGAAGTGGCTTTTAATGGAAGAGGTAAGTAGCCAGATTAAGCCTTTATCAATGCCAGCATTATAATGTAATTAACAAATCAAATATGGACGCATTTGATTTTACTTGTCAGATGTTTTCCTTTTTTTTCTCAAATATAAGATATAATAAAAGATAAGATTGTAACAAATCCTCATATTAGTTTGCTTTCTTGTCCTTCTATCACCATTTATAATAACAACTAATGTCAGCTTAGGATGTCTTTTTTTTCTAATTTAATCTACGTTGAGGCATCAACCGTTTGACGGAATGCTATCGACAAACGATTCTATAGTAATAGATTCTTATCTCTTTTTTTTTCTTCGTCTACTTCTTGTCGATGCGAACGACCATATTGTTCTAGGTTTTAGCAACACTAGGTTCGTTGAGAATGAATAAGAAGAAAAAACATTTGCTTATTTTTTAGTGAATCAGCTAATGAAAAAAAAACCCAGTCATTCGTTTCTGTTTTTTTGTTTTTACATAAGACGCATTTTTTTTTCTTCTTCACTGTATGAATAACAGTAGCGGTATGTGATGTATAATTGTAGGAAGAAAACGTGATAGAGGTATAGAATCTAATAAAAATAATGCATGAGACTGAGACGCTTCTTTCTGATCGATGTGATATGACAGAACAGGCTTTTGTAAGAAATTATGATTGATAATGCATAGAAAGAAGATCTCGTTTTTTCTTTTTGTTGTATTCTAGCGTTCTAATAGAGTCAGTTGGGCTGAACAGGTTCCATCGATGGCATCCAAACAACAAGAACGTATTAGCACTATGTATGGTTCAGAATGTAAGTTTTTCTAAATTTTATTTTCTTTTTTTTTGTTTTTCTTCAATTCTATTTATCTATTTGTAATCGATCAGTAAATGCGTCGAATGTTACTAGAAAATATTCACGTAATTTAATAATTTTCATAACTACTAAATTGCATTGCTAGTTAATTTTGTAGTTATGTTGAAAAAAATATTTATATTTATTTATTTATTTTTTCTATTAGACGATATACGCAATACACAAGAAGGTCTTGGTACATGTGGTTGGATTCTTGTCATATTATCTTATATAATATGTCTTTTAACATTTCCTTTTTCACTTTGTGTTACAGTCAAAGTAAGGACAATATGTACTATTACGAAGAGAAATGTTATTCAAAATAATAATATAATAGGTTGTACAAGAATATGAAAGAGCAGTTATTATGCGTCTTGGTCGAATTCTTTCGGGTAGGATAAAGAAAGAGAAGACAATTAATTCAATATTAATTACTTTTTTTTCTCTTTTCAAGGTGGTGCCAAAGGTCCGGGTTTATTTTTTGTTTTACCTTGTGTTGATTCCATAATTAAAGTTGATTTACGAACAGGTGGATATTAGAAACATATAATTTGAATAATTTAATTAATTGAGTACAAATGTTTATTTCAAAAATTGAAATTTGTTTTTTAGTTACTTTTGATGTTCCTCCTCAAGAAATTCTTACAAGAGATTCTGTGGTATATGAATAATAATAAAATGTTAAAAATAATTTTCAATATGATTTTCTTTTTCTTGACAGACAGTATCCGTTGATGCTGTTGTTTATTTTCGAATATTTAATCCAATAATAAGTGTAACTAATGTTGAAAATGCACGTTATTCTACACAATTACTTGCTGCAACAACACTTCGTAATATTTTGTAAGTTTATTAAATTGAAAACAAAGTATTGATTTATATGATGTTTATAGAGGTACAAAAACATTACAAGAAATTTTATGTGACAGAGAAAATATTTCACATTCAATGCAAGTTCATCTTGATGAAGGAACTGATCCATGGGGTGTGAAAGTTGAACGTGTAGAAATGTTAGTTTATCTAAACAAAATATGTTTTCTTTAACATTTGAATTTCTATTTTAGTAAAGATGTTCGTCTCCCTGTTAATATGCAGCGTAGTATGGCTGCAGAAGCTGAAGGTTAGAATTTAGATTGTCTTGTTTGTTCTAATCTAATTAAATATTGTTTTCCAGCTGCTCGAGAAGCTCGTGCTAAAGTAATTGCAGCTGAAGGTGAACAAAAAGCTTCAAGATCTTTAAAAGTAAAAAATTTTTTATTAGATAGAAAAAAGAAAGTTATAAAAATATACTTTAAAAAAAAATTTTTTTCTAGGAAGCTGCTGATGTGATTAATGAAAGTCCAATTGCATTACAACTACGGTATCTTCAAACATTGACACATATATCAGCAGAAAAAAATTCTACAATTGTTTTTCCTATTCCTGGTAGAAATTTTAGTTATAAGTATTATTATCGATCTTATGGTATTGTTTTGTTTTTTAGTCGAACTTTTAAAATTAATGAAAACTCGAAGTGACGTGCGTATAACCACTGGTCTATAGGAACGCAATCTGTGATTGTTCATTTTTGTGTTCATTTGAATAAACAAAAAGAAAACTATGTTTATTTATAATATTGATCATATAAATATGAAACTAGACCAACTCTTGCCCATTTTATGGCTATTGTTTTGGCAGTTTGTAAAGTTGTATTAGTCGAGGACATCGATGATTGGATTATCTGTTGTGTAGGATCTTCTTTAATTAATGTTAACATGAGATTATCTCGTTCATGATTGACATGTATCCTAATATCATTAATCAATTGTGGAAAGTCGTATTTAGTTTTATCTTTTGTATTAATAAGATAAAGTGATAGATTTGTTTTTGATAGACTTGTTTCGAGATTTTTTATACAATTATTACGAATCATATTAAGTACTTCAGTTGCATTAAAATTAGTTGGATAATCACGACGATGATTACGTAGTTCTTCATCAATACCAGTACGAATAAAAAAAAGTGTTTTATTAAAACGATCTCGAACAATATCACTTAACCATAAATCAATTTCAGTAAAACGACCACGAGACAATATAAGAAACATATCATAACGATTTATATTAATTAATTTACAATAATCTTCTTTAGACACGGATGGTGTTGCAACACCGGGCACATCCCATATGAAAACATTATCAATTAGTTTATAACATGTAGGCGTTACTGTTGTTTCAATGACACCGACAGGAGCAAAATCAGTATGGTCGGAAGTTAAGTCTCTAATTAAATTGCATAATGAACTTTTTCCAATACCTGAACGACCGAGTATCGCTATATGATATGGTGCATTAGGTGGACGATATTTAACAATAGACATTAAAGATCTAAAATTGAAAAATAAAAACAGGATATTTGCTATTTAAAAGATAAATCAATCAATCAAAAAACAATATCACATAATAAAATAAAATCACCAATAGAAAACACGTATTTACAAAATAAGAAAACTAATTATTAGATTAATTGTTGTCTTTGTTGTTCTTCTCGAATCATTTGATTCGATGCATCAATAACAACATCAACAATTTTCAATGATGCTTGTTCCATACGTATTAATATTTTATATAAAACAATATAACAAAGTCCAAATGATAATGTTGATGCAATTGCTGTTCCAACGTATGGTACAAATCGAACAAATTCTTCTGTTGTTGCTCCTACAGCTTGTTTTTTTGCAAAATCTAAAACAAATGATCTTAACGAAGTTAAATATTGTAATGGAAATATTTCATTTAATTCTTTTTCTATTTTTTGCATTGGTATTTGATAAACATTTGATAATTTTTGTAAAGCAGCTTGATCTAATCCAAGTTGTTTTTTATAAAATTCAGCTTCACTCATAACTAATGTTGCATCAAAACCAAGTGAAAGAAATGGTACAGGTATAGCAGCAACAGCTGCTGATGCTGATGCAACAATCCATATACGACGATAAAGTGCAGCAACTTTTGCTAATAAAACTTCTTTACACATAACTGACATTGATAAAATCATTGATTCACGTTTTAATGATGGATAATCACGTAATAATGTTTCATTTAATTTTCCAAAATCAAAACGTAAACGATTTTTTAAATGACCAGATATAAGAAATACTTCAGCATTCGAATCAATAGTATGAATATATTCAAGACAATTATTACGAATACGTTCTAAAATTTCTTTTTCATCATATGTACTTGGATGATCTTCATATTCATTATGTAAATCAGAATCAATATTTGTACGAATAAATATGAATCGTTTATTATTTTTTTTAACTTCAGATGCAAGCCATAGATCATTTTCTAGATTTTATAAGAATATATACTTAATAATTTCTTTTTCTTTTTCTTTTTAGAAAATAATTATTACCAGTAAAACGTGTTCGACAAAGAATTAAAAAAAAATCATAACGTTCAAATTGAACTTTTTCTAAATAACATGAATGAGGATAATTTGGTGTTCCAACACCTATAATCAATATTTTTCTTTGTTAAGAAAATCATACAGAGATAAATTTTTTTCTGTACCTGGTAAATCCCAGATTTTCAAATTTGAAAAATCTGGATGTTCATATGGAGTTGGTTGATTAGTTGTTTCTACAATACCTACACTTGCAGAACCTTCATCTTCAGCTTCTAAACCACGCAAACAATTAATAAATGTTGATTTACCGACACCACTATAAAACAGATGTCGATGAAATTCTACAAATCAATGTTTGACTATCTTCTTACCTTGAACCAACAACAGCAATATCTAATGGATGTTGTTTCCATGCATCCAATCGTTGGGAAAGATACCCATCTAAACCATGAACACCATTTCTCTAAATATATAATCATAAAATTCAAAGCAACAAACAAAAATCAAAATTAAACTAACATGAATAAATTCTTCTGCTCCTTTTTTTTCTTCATCAGTTATATCAAGTAATTCGAAATGTCCACCTGTTGTAATCGATTCAACAACTGGTTCACGATAAAAAAATTGTTCAAAATCAGAGAAATTCATCTTTAATCTTAAAAAAAAAAAAGAAAAACAAAAGAAAATTTGCTGAGCAGGCGTGTGTCCTTTGTGTTTTATTATCTGGTATAGTTCTATTAAAGGTAGCGTTTCCCATTATAAATAAATATTCTATCTTCTGATATCATATAATATCGGAAGTTGGAACATTTTTTTTTTTGATAATGAAAAACACTACATTTAATTTTACTATATATTCACTGTGAAATGCGTGTTCAACAAATATAAGGAAATAATTATTTCATTATTTAAATTACATGACAAAATTAAAAAAAATAAGATATTTATTATATAGGTTCATCATCATCATTATCTTCATCATCACTAACACTTCTTTCAGAAACAATATCAATTAATGTAAGTGCTGCTTTTTCCATGACATTTAATAAATTTCTTAATACAGATAATATTATTGAAAATGAAACAGTCGCACATATAATTGAACCAACATAAGGTACATATCGAAGAACTTCTTCAGTTGCAGTACCAACTGCTTGTCTTTTAACTAATGATATAACAAAATCAGGTACAGCAGTAAAAAAATGTGCTGGTAAAATTTTTTGTAATTCATCTTTTAAAACATATAATGGTATATGATGAATTTGAGCAATACGTTCTAATGATTCATCATCTAAACCTAATTGTTTCTTATAAAATATAACAAAACCAACAGTTAATGAAAAATCAAACATAACACTTAAACCAGGTATTGGTGGAGTTGCAACAGCAGCACTAACAGCTGCTGCTACCCATGTTTGACTACGAAGTACATCAACTTTAGCTCTAATAACTTCTTTACAATTAGTTGACATAGCTAAAATCATTGCATGACGTTTCAAACCAGGATAATCTCGTAGAAGAGCTGTACACATATTAGGAAAATCAAATCTATAGAAATTTTTGAAATTATTTTCTTTACATATTAATCAAAATAAAAGCAAAATATATGTATTCTTACCGAGACGTATAACTAATTCGACCACTAATTAAAAAAACATTAGTAGTATCATCAACTGTTCGAATATGTCCAAGACAATTTTCACGTATTCTATCAAGTATTAATGTTTCATTATAATTTTTTGGATGATCAATTTTTTCATTATATAAATCTTGATCAATATTTGTTCGTATAAAAAAAAATCGTTTACCAATGTTTTTTATTTCATTTGCCAACCATAAATCATTTTCAGTAAAACGTGTACGTGAAACAATTAAAACTAAAAACAAACAAAAAAAAATTATGTTAATTTCAATGATTAAATTTAAAAACATATACAAACAGAAATCATATCGTGCTAAGTTTACTTGAGTTAAATATGTTGATTTTTTAAATTCTAATGTACCAACACCTAAAAAATAATTGAATAAATAAAATAATAAAATATAATAAGTTAATTAAATAACAAACCTGGTAAATCATAGAAGACAAGATTAGGATAACTTGGATGAGAATATGATTGAACAATTCGTGTTGTTTCAACTACTCCAACTTTTGCTGCACCTTCATCCTCTAGAATTTTATATTTATAGTTAATTATATCAAATTGATAAAATTACTCTAAAATAGTGTCAATATTTGTCAAAATATTTTTCGATCATTAACTTTTATAATTAATGTTAATAAATTTGAGTTATTTTTGTAACTAAATTTTATACTTATAACAATTATGAGAGATTTCATGTCTATGTTTCAAAAGAAATTTTATTCAATAAAAAAAAAAAGTATTTATATACTATTGATGGATATTTTGCATCGTTTTGAAAACGACAAACTTTTGATAATAATAGTTTCATGTTTACTATAAATCATATTTTTATAATCGAAAATATTGTACGTCAATCCAAATCGATTTGATTACGAAACAGAAATCAAAACCGGTTAACTTTTATTATAAAAAAACAAAACCTCAATCAACCCTAATTTTTAATAAAAAGTGTGGGGACAAATACCCTTCCCCCCCCCCCCCCCCCCCCCCATCCTCTTGTATTGACATAATCCGACTAATTAGCCCCTAGAAAGTTCATCAAAAGTATTTCCAAGGATCCTAGACCAATAGCTTAAGAGATAACGTGTACTTGTCCCGCTTGATACAAGCCTTACAGAACATATCAATAGCTGAGGGTGAAGGCAAAATCTTGATACAGCCATCAAAGGGCATCTTAATAGCTGAGGGCGCCATGAAATATTGTCTCATGGCACCTTCAACTATTGGGATGGGCGTGGATGTAGGTGTGAGTGCGTGTTAGGGAAGCATGGCACCAACACACCCACACCCACACCCTTAATTGTGGATCAAGATTTCGTGGCACCCTCAGCTATTGATATGCTCTGTGAGGCTTGTACCAAGCGGGACAAATACACGTTATCTCTTAAACTAGTGGCCTAGGATCCTTGGGAATACTTTTAATGAACTTTCCAGGGGCTAATTTGTCAAATTACGTCAAGATATGAAGGGGGGGGGGAGGGGTCAATAAGTGTATTTGTCCCTAAAGTGTGTAAATTCATACGAGAATCCTTATGCATAAGAATATTTCATATATACCTGCTCGAAGGTTGCGTAGTGTATTGATGAGAGTTGATTTACCCTATTGAATAAAAAATACTCATTGATTTTATCTCTAATTATAATCTATCATTGATATTTAAAGAAAATATCAAACAGATACTTGCTGATCCTGAATCTCCAGTAATTGCAATATTCAATGGACTAAAACAATTAAAATCCTTCACAATGAACAATAAAAAGTTCATAAGAAAAATAAAAACGAACCATTTTCGCCATGCATCTAATCGTTCAGCGAGAAAACCTTCAATACCACGTACTCCATTTTCATTAAGATATTTCTTTGCTGCAATTTTATCCTCTTCTGACAAATCTACTATGTCAAAATCGAATGATTGTGTACTGTTACTAGCTGCCATGTTTTTTTGTTTTTTTGATGATTCACTTAATCATCTAGAATAACAATGACTCATCGATGATAAATTTTATTTATTTTTCTCTTTCTACATAAATGAAATGAAAGACAAAAATACAATACATTATATACAATAGCATATAAGAAAAAAAAAATATATATATATATATTTTGTTTAGAATCCATTATTATCTGACATAGTAGTTTGATTTTGATGAATACTAGTACTATGAGTATCATAAGTGTTTGCTTGATCATTATGATCAGTCATTGTAATATCATTTTCATCTTGATTATGACTAGGATTAGTTTGTTCTTGTGAACAACTAAAAAAGAAAAATTAATAAATTCAAAATAAATTAATTGAATTAAATTTAGTTTGTTTTTAACTTACATGAGATGTGATTTCTTTCGTTCTTCTAATTTTTTAGCAAAAAGAGCTGGACGAAGTGATGCTGTTTGAGAACAATTATTTACTTTATATATACCAATAAGATAATCAGCAAGTGTAAACATATTTTCACGTAATGAAATAACAATAAATTGTGCCTAAAAAAAAAAAGAATATTTATTAAATTTATGTTCTTTGTGTTTTTTTTGTACAACTTACATTTTTTGTACGTTCTTTAATAAATCGACCAACAATTGAAACATTTTTAAAATCTAATGCAGCATCAATTTCATCCATAACATAAATTGGTGTTGGACGAAATGTATGTAAAGCAAAAACAAATGCTAATGAACTTAATGTTTTTTCACCACCAGATAAATTACATATACGTTTCCAAGATTTTTTTGGTGGTCGAATACTATCATAATAGGATACAATAATAATAAAAAAACAACAAAAATCTATTGAAATATTAGTTTACCTTAATTCTACACCATCAACAAATGGATCATTACTTGAACAAAATTCTAATTCAGCATCTCCACCATCTGTTATTGTTCGATAAATATGTTTAAGTGTACGTGATATTTGATCAAAACCAGCTCGAAATTCTGTTTGTCGTTGTTCATTAAAACGATCTCGTTTTGCTCGTATATGATCACGACGTGTTTCAAGTTCAACAAGATCTTTTTGTCTCATATTTAAATTACGAACCTTAAAACAAAATATTTTCCATTAAGCAAAAACAAAAAACAAATTCTTACAGCACGACGATGTTCACCAATAGCAGTTAAATTACAATGTGTTTGTTTTAAGTCATTTTCACGGTCTAATGTTGCTGCAACTAAATCTTTCATTGTATATACATCAAGATCAGAACGATCATATTTTTGAATTGGAACTTCTTTAAGATAGTTTGTTGATGCATTATCATCAGGTGTATCTTCTTCATCATCAATAACATGACATAAACGTAATCCATTAATCTATATTAAAAAACAAAACAATGTCAGTTTAGTTTTATCAGAATACTTTGAATTAGACATGTATGGACAAAAATTACAGTCCAATCGAGACTGGCATATGTACAAAATTTCAAATCGAAACTTTCAACTATTATTTTTTTCGAAAATTGGTCTCCTATTGGATGATTCTATTAGAAAGTTACTCTCTCGATCAAATCTAAACAAGAATAGAAAATCTTTAGAAGTTATCTTAGTCTAGTAATCTTTTATATATTAGCAAAATATGAAAGACTCTAGTTTCAGGATCCTTTATAAATTAGATTTCAAACATTTGAAATTCGCTTGCTCGTTTAAGTAATATATACCTCGACATCGATCACACTAATTTCATGTCGACATTGAGCCAATTCTTTTTGTGCTGCTTCATATTCATGTTTTAAATGAACAATTTCTTTTTCAATATCAGCTAATTCAGATTCTGTAACTCGTATTGTTTCACGTAATTCTGCCATATTTATTTTATTTGTTTCCAAATCATTCTAGAAATAAATTTTGATATAAATAGTTTGTTTGTTTTTTTTCTTTTTCTCTAATGTTATTTAAACTTACTTCGATTTGTATTTTCTTTTCATCAGCATTTTTTGCTAATTCTTCAAGTTTTTCCAATCTGGCATTAAGATCAGCACGTTTTTTTAATATTTGATCAATAGCTG